TTTACCCTCAGCATTGTTAGTGTTTGGTGAAATCATCGTGTGAGCAATGTTGTGGTTAGCCATCGGAACCCAGGCGAGTCGATTGATGAGGTTGTGAACCTACAGCGACTGAGCCACCACCTACCTCGACGTGCTCTGCTAGAGGATCCAATTCCGATTGTGTTGAAATAGGGTTGAGGGTGGCCAGATGAACACCTGCCACCAATCTATGAAATCTCTTACTATTGGTCTGACCTATGTGGCTAGGTGTCGACTGACTAACTGGCGTCTTTGAGATGAGACGAATCGGTGACAATGGCGTGGATGTATCCACTCATTGACATCTTCTAAAGCTTGAATATTTTCACTAACCTTGATTTCTAAATTCCTTCTCTCACACACCTTTGCCTACTTTGATATCATTGCTTTTTCTATCCACCAATTTGTAGACTTGTAGAAAAAGTGGAACCTTCCACACTCTCCTTCATGTCAATCATTGACTGAAATCATGTCATATTGTAGGTTGATTTGTGAAAGAAATGTCACTCATTTCTTCTCACTAATGTCAACAGGTTTGCTTTAAGGCATGTCATGCAGGTATTGATGTGCACAAATCATCATCTGTGTTTTATATCCACTTAGCAGCAGATGACCTCTAGACGACTAAATGACAACAGTTTATTTTGTTGATTTTCTAGTTGTTCTTTTTGACAAAATCAGTTGGTCAGTTTCATTGGTGGCTGTCTTGTTGTTATTGTTGTTTCGGGTGTACACCTTCATGGTTTACATATTCATTTTCAAACTGTAAAAGTAAACTTCGCTGACGACCAATCACGTTTGAGTATTCACTGACCAATCAGAATCGAGTATATGAAGCATGACATAAGTATTCACGAGGAATGAGGAATGATACACAAAACATTTGTTTATTTTGTTATTTGTTCTAAATGTAATAAATATACCAGGGTTACACAAGTAGAATACACCTAATATCATGTCAATGGTAATTTATTTATACTTTATAAATCTGTTTCACATTTCGGAAATAAAGATTTTCAATCTTGATCTTCAACCATGCCATTGTTGTTCTGTACTGCCACTGATCTATATGAGACCATATCATAGTGAGTTTGTCGGTTTCAATGGCCCGTAAAGAATCCTGTTCAAGTTTCATGAGATGCCTTTCTCACATGATCACAGAGTGGAGATGTTAAATTCTCATTTCTTAGTGTTGCCTATACCTCTTATGCTTTACTTACAATTTCTCATACATTTCTGTATTTGTTTATGTGAATAATTATGAATAGTAAAGCTTCTTATTTCCTCCCTTAGATTTTCTGTTTCATCGGTAAATGCCTTATTCCCTACTGGAACCTTTCGCCATTCATTGTGTGTGTGTGTGTATGTGTGTGTGTTGACATAGGATGAGTAAGAAACTAACATGATTAACCTGATAGAGTGTAAAGTCGCATCATGATCAAAGGTATCATGAAAACAGACAAGATTTTATGCATAAATCTTGACTTCAAAGGTGATTTCACTCCTGGTGCATCTTGAAAAGAAGAATTTGAAACTGGCTAAAGAAACTTTCATCGCCTCAATCCTGAGGATTTTATTCTCCAGTCGTCTAATATGTCATGGCTATCTGAAAGATAAGGTTCCCTTACAGCGATGCTAAGTATATAGGTCGCTTGATACTCATTCGTTCCAAATGGGTTAGAGGAGATTACTCCGCCTAGCTGGAAAGAGGTGCGAATGGATCCATCACAAGTGCAGTCAATGAACATCTTGTCAACTGGCACTGGTCACAGAATCACAATTGATTCAGACATTTCCATCTTCTCTCTACTCCACAAGCTCTTACCATGTGCATCGATAAACTCGAGTTATGTGTACAAGAGAAACTTGTGAAATCTTTGTTACTACCTTGGACTGGTAAATTGTTAACAATACATCCACCTCTATCTCTGTCTCTCTTATCATTCACAATCTTGTTGAATTTTGTGATATAGTTTAATAACTCAATATCGCGTCTTCATTTTGTTTCCATGCTTCCTCTTGATCATACTTTATCTTGAAATAGGATAAAATGATCCAACGTGTAAGTATCTATTCGATTGTGTGAATTTTCCGTACACAGACTACTTACTGTCCACCTTGTCTGGTTTTTACTCTGCAATCCAACATAGCAAGTTCCCTTTCCTCAGTGTCATTTACACATCTCTGGCATAGTTTAGGAGGAGAGCTAAGCATCCGAAGAGCTGTTTACCCCCTCCCCCTCCCCTTCCGCCTCCCTCGCTACACCCAACTCCCCAAAGCATTACACTTCGAGTTTGTTGTGACCGTATTTCACAACATATGTTGTATGTGCATATATATAAATATATAAGCCTTCAAGTGTCAAAATCCCTTGTTTCTGGCATTTCACAGGTCTCACTTATGTCATCTGTACATTCTCTTCTTAGACAATTCAAACAAATAGTCAGTCGATAGTTTCACAGATTGGTTCTATGCTTATGTCTAATCGTTAATGACCTGTAACAAAGTAATACCAGCATTATACATTCGAGTAGTAGACAATGACTCTTTATGTGTAACAAGTTGGAAACACTCAGTTGATGTAGGATCTTACAAATTTATCAGTTGATTGATTTGCCTTTCCTATAACTTTACATGTAATCTGAATCATATTCAGTCAGTAGTAACCAATGCTTCAAAACCATTCGTCTTTTATTTGAAAATTATTTGCCTTTTCGGTTCTAGTGGAACATAGGGCTTCAGTAGGACATCACCATTGCACTCTCTTCTCTGCAATCTTTTGAACCTGGTTCACGACTGCCCACAAGTTCTAATTTCTTCCTCACACCATCTCCACCATGTCACCCTCAGCTAGGACGCCCAACTCGTCGTTTCCCATTTGGTTCCACTCGACGGCCTGACCTGGTGCGTGATGTCCCAAATGGTCTTCTCAGTGTATGCCCAATGCAAACCATTCCCACTTTCTTCTTCTACATATATGTTGAGTGATAGGTTCTTGCTTCGTTGGTTCGTCGCCAGGCCACTTCCTCCTTGCTTCTCCTTTCTCGCTTTCTCAGCTGATCTTCAGTATCGGGTGAGTGTAGGCGGTAGTTGTTGATGAATGTCTGTAGTTTGTTGGAAATGCTTTTCGTAACGCGCCAAGTCTCTGAATAAACCCTCGCCTTAACCATATAGAAGCACTGACGTACTTGATTGACTTTTTGACTTTCTTCGCGTTAACCTTGAGGATAATATTATCCAGCTGTTAAATGTTTCTAGGTAACCTGAAGGGTAAGCTTACGCATCTGACCGCTTTCAACAATTCACCTACTCCTGTGCACCGTATTCTTTCCAAACGCACTAGAGACTACACCACCTGGCTCTACAAACAGGTGTGAGTGTATCCATCAGAAGTGAAATCAGTGATCATCTTGTCAACCGACAGTCATCACAGCATAACAACTGATTCAGGCTTTCAAAATCATTTACAGGGTGAAGTGGTGTACTTCCAGATTCTCTGTACTACAGAAACTCTTGGTAATTTCATGGAATTATTTGTACAAAAGAAAAATTGTTCAATCTTTGCTGGTACCATAGATCGACTTCTATCTCTGTCTCTCTTATTATTCACAATTTCGTCTTCATGTTTTTGTTGTGAAAATTATTTTCATATATTAGTCAACTTTATGATTCTATCCAGTTGATTATGTTGGTGTCTATGCTCCTCTTTTGTGGATAACTTCCATCTTCCATCAAATTCATGAATGTTTAACCTTCATTCAACTTGATCTTTGTTATTAGGTGGTTTAATGAAATAATAGTTCTTGTAACTGTACAATTATAAACGAAATGTATTTGTAAAGATTCTCAATACACCAGTGAAATAACTTTCTGACGACGTTTCACGACTTCATGGAAATCGCTTCTCCAGGGGATGGAAATGGTATAATTAAATAGTAAATGGTGACAAATGAGATCACGTTGCTCATATATCATAATTATATGGAGTGAATATAAAAGCCATTCAAACAACTGCTGAACTAACCAATCACGTTTCACTTTTTAGTGATAAACTAACTCCCTAGCCGAAATAACGAAACATGATTGGCTATTTGAGTTGTTAACGTGGCGCCCTTAAAGTAGTTTATAATATGAGTATAAATTTCTTTCTTCGGTTGGTTAGCACACCTCCTGATATTATCTCACCGTTCCATCCACCCACCAACTCAGGCAATACCAACTCACCCTCGAAGAAGACACATCCATTGCCTTAATCGCATTGTAGTGCCTCGTATTTAGTCAAATCTTGTCCACATAATCAACATCCATGACGGGACTATATTGTATTGCAGAGTGATAGAAGGACACCTTTTGCTGCCAACACACACAACGATGTGTACAAAACCCATCCACCACAAGATATCGCTGTGGATCCAATTCTCGATCGGATATCTACAAGACTATTGGTGATCCTTCAGTGAACAGGGAGAAACCGCCTCTGTGTCGTTCGGTCAGATAGATGCAAGTAAAAAGATAGTGCGGTCCAGTCTAACTATTATTCCGAAGAGGAAGGTGATGTGAGGATAGAGAAAGAAGATGCTAGTCTAAAGAGGAACCAATCAAAATGTATTTTATGTTATCACGTCTATAGTTACACAGATAGATGGTGGATCACCCAATCAATATGATTATTTTAAACACCGAAATATTAATATATATTAGATATATTTTTCACTGTTTTAGGGGCCTTCGGTCTTTCGATCCGAATACACGTTTCTACATATCCATTGTGTCTTGTCTAATAATTAATCGGGTCGGGAGTCAACTAGGAATTCGTTGAATGTTGGTTACTGTCACTCGATATCCGTGCATTGTTAGAGGCCATAGTACACTGAAGTTCGCAAATCCTAACATGAATAAACAGCAAAACCTTCCTAGTCAACAAACATACATGGAAGTGAAGACATAAAAGGTGGGGGGTGGGGGGGGTGGAGTACACTCACCTGCACAAGTACAGAATAGCCTTGTACACTGAATTACTCTCTTGAACCGTTCTATTCCTTACTTCATTTCGAATAAGATAACCAACACTCAGTTGTGCTTTCTTGAATAGAATATCATAGTTGCTTTTATCAATTGTATCTGTATTCTGTTTACTATTCTCTGTAGATTTAACATTGTTAGTAACATTGGAAACGCTGATATCAGTAAAAACAGTAGTTGAAGGAGTAGAAGAAACGTTAACATCATTTATTAGATGATCTGTACTAGTATACACTTCAACGTGTACTTCAATACAATGTAAATAATCAAGAAGTTGACGTCGAACTTGTTGTAAAGCAGTATAAGTACGTGAAACTGAAAAATGACTATTCGATGGATTATTATTTAATCGATCAAGAAAACTGAATAAACATTTTGATGCTTTAACCAATTCTAAAGCTGAGATATAATCACCAGGAAGTTTGATTTCATCACCAATATGATTACAATTTGATATTGTATCCATAGGAATTGATGGTTTAATATCTTCAAAGCTGTTCTCAGCAAAGCAAAAATCACCACCACCACCACCAACAACAACAACAGAAGAAGAAAAAGGAAAAAAACAGAAAAGGATAATTGATTACTGAGTGAATAGAAATTATGTGTGCATTTATGTGTGTTTATCAGTGAATGAATGACCCAGAAATTGACCTACTAATTTGTAATGAAATACTCACCATTGACAGTGGAATAGCATTCCAATAGTTGATTTTCCTTACAAAAGATCGTATGGCGTCATAAAACTTGCCTCTATTGAATAATAAGACATGAAATAGTTGAACACATTAACTACTTCACTTACCTGATAAATTAGATCTATTCGGTATGAGTTATTGACTGATGAAATCTTATCATGGATACCAAAAATGTGATTAACTTTCGTCTGTTGAAGTGCAAGAGTACTATGTTCCAGTTCACTCTGTTCTGTTGTATATAGATGAAATATAGTGATTAAAAGTAGACGACATGACCAAAGTTGCCTTTCGTAGACACAGGTGCAGAGTTTTAGAGATAAAAAGAAGATCAATTGATGAGGTCATCAACCTTGATCAATTGAGATGGCTGACTGGGACATGTGTTATGCATATCTAGTCACCGACTACCTCATCGTACAATTTTGCCTGAAATAGGTTCAAGCTTGAAAAAATAGCTTCAAGCAGTCACACAAAAACATGACATCACTATATCAAATCCTTGACCACTGATATATGAGCAGTGTATGGAAATGTAAACTAGCCGGTTAAGATTCATGTGATAGGTGAAACCAGTGATTAAAGACTCTAAAGGATGATATGAGCTAATAGTCAACATGAATAAGACAAATGCATGCACATTTTATCTTCAGCATTTTCTTATTCATCCTTGTTTTCTTATCACAAATAAATATTAATATATTTGCTGTATTCCAGCACCATAATTATGTTTTACACTACAGAATTACACTAATTCACCCATAGTAGAACCTTTTTAAAACATTCACTATGATTCTGTTTGATAATTGAAAGGTTTAATGATTTCAAGGACAAGATAACTGTTCACCATTGTAAAGTTGATACATAAGACTATGGTCTAACAAGATTTTCTTCATACAATATACAAGCTAAATAAGGTGGTATAGTTGAATATGTATATGTAACTACATGTGTGTGCATAAATTTGAATATATTTACTTCTTGTCTTCCCTAACGACAGACATGAAGAGAGGTGAACATGCAGAGGATGCTTGTAATCAGATAAATATCTGAAGCCAGCAGTCTAAAAGAGTTCAGATACCTGTATCCAAGATCATATTCATGAGTACAGTTAGTGGTCTACTAACAGCCTTCAAAATTCCATGCAATACAACGTAGTCTTTTTTCTAGAGTCCAGGAAAGAATAAGGAGGAACAATAAGTAAGTATAGGTAAAACAAAAGAATTAATGAAACGAAAGAGGAGAGACTGAGTTATACCAGATGGTCTGAGTTTCCTAGTATAAAAGATGAAGCAATGGATTTTCCTAAAAACCAGTAAGATATAAAGGGACGAAGAAAGACCAGGAGAAAAACGTAAGCCAAGATGAACCATTATTATTATTTCATTTGTCCCTTGGGTTTCTAATGGAACATAGAGATTCAGTAACACGTCACCACTACACTCTCTTCTCTGAAATCTTTTCAACCTGGATCCACGACAGCCCACAAGCTCTCATTTCTTCATCACACCATCTCTTCCATGTCACCCTCAGTTGGGACGCCCAACTCATGGTTTCCCATCAGGGTTCCACTCAAGTGCCTGGCCTCGTGCATGATATCCTCGAATGGTCTTTTCAGTGCATGCCCAATCCATCTCCACTTCCTTGCAGTGCATATTTGTTGAGCGACAGGTTATTGCTTGATTGGTTCGTTACCAGCCAGCCAGAGTTCCTTGTTGCTTATTGTGGCCATCTGAGCTTCAGTAATGAGAAAGCGTAGGCAGTTGTTGGTGAATGTGTGTAGTTTGTTGGAAATGCTTTTCGTAACGCACCAAGTCTCTGAGGTATAGAGAAGCACTGACTTGATTGAGGTTGGTGTTGAAAATGAGGATGTTGTTCACGCAGGCGTTCTGCTGAGTGGATTGGAGTGGAGTGGAGTGCAGAAGATCTGCACACTGGTTTGAGGTTAATGAAGGAAGGCCTGTCTTGCTGTCTTTCTGATCCTGGCTGGCATTGGGGTCCTCAACTGTCTGTGCCGCCCGTAGTTGAAACAGTGCTTCCTAGATAAGTGAAGGAGGTTACTTCCTTCAAGTTTCTCCCGTTGATGGTGATTGGAGTTTGTTGTTGATGGTGGTGGTGTTGGTTGAGTATCTTCATCACCTCTGTCTTCTCTATATTCACTTGAAGTCCCGTCTTCGCTACCTCTTCTGACAACTTGTTTGTTTTCGCCTGTAGATCTTCAAGTTTGTGTGACACTGGACATAAGTCATTGTTGGCGAAATCCAAGTCTTCTAGGTTCTTTTCCCCGGTCCAGCGTACGCCCCTTTTCTCGCTCTTCACTGTTTGTTGCATGATCCAGTCCAGTCGACCACAATCAGGAATATCATGGGGGATAGTAGGTGGCAGTCTTGTTTCACACCTGTCTTCACTTCAAAAGCATCACTGAGCTTCGCATTGTGAATTACTCGGCATACGGCATCCTCATATAGTTATTGAATGAGGCTGATAAAGGTTTGTGGTATTCCGTAGTATTGAAGCAGTTTCCAAATTACCTCTCGGTCGACACTGTCAAGGGCCTTCTGAAAGTCGATGAAGTTGAGGACCATGCTTGCCACATTCTCTATAACAGAGGCATCTAGAAGACAAAAACCATGGAACTGAAGCAATGTGAAAAGGTGTTTTTCATGTCTTAAGCTAAGGTTAACCATCTCACATTTGAATAAGCTTTATGTAGTTATTCAGTCTGTGATAAAGTATAATATATTTCCTCCTTTATTCTCTGACGATAGACATGGAGAGAGGTGTGGATGCAGAAGATGCTTGTCAGCAGTCTACAAGAGTTCAGATGCCTATCCACGACCGCATTCATACGCGTGGTTAGAGGTACGCTACTTGCTCTACTAACAGACTTCAAAATCCTACACAGTACAACATAGTCTTTTAGCCGGAGTCCGGGAAAGAATAAGGAGGAGGAGGAGGGGGGGACAATAAGTTAGCGAAGGTAAAACACGTAAATTCATGAAACGAAACAGTAGTGACTAAGTTAAACCATATGCGAAGGTTTTTATTCACATCTTAAGCTAAAATTAACCATCTGACATTCGGAGGGAATGAATTTGAAGGCAGTGTGAAAACCAGTGACAAATTTCAGTTAAGAAGTTGTTAAACTGAGAACAATCAGAAGAGGAGATGATCGGCATAGATACTGTCAAGCTTTAGCTGAGATTGGTAAGTCATGCAAAAAGAAAGAGAAAAGGAAAGGAGAAAGAACAGCAACTTGAGACACACCGGCTTCACTCATCGGCAAAGTAGGGCCTTTCCCTTTATATGGAGTGTATTGTCTTCTCTGAGAAATATGAATCAAACCAGTTTACAATCCATGACTCAATGTGAATACTGCCAAGCTTGTTTACTAAGAGGGGTTTACGGATAGAGTCAAAAGCAGAAGTATAATCTAAGAAGGTAGATCCAGCATACTCTGTTTATGTGACCGGAAACCTCAATTTAGCTATAGAAACGTAAAACGAAAAATCTGTCTCATTTTATCCGCCCAAAACGTGAAATAAACGTCACTGAATAACAACTTTTCATCATGTTTTCAATGATGTATTCATCGACGCACATTCATCAAGCAGTACAGTGTACTTAGTTCTATCTGGTCTTATTGATTTTGAGAGTTGAATATGAACCAACCAGTTACGGGTTCGAACCTTACCATTTACCTACCAAAGTTCGAGCAGTCAATCAGTATCATTGACTCTTTCGCACAACAGAGGTAGAGTTCATTGTTGCCTACTTAACAAACGTGTACAAGATTAATAATGAGTGATAATTGAAGGTAAAAGGAGAATTTCAACTTAGGACGGATTCGAACCAGCGACCACTTGGTTTGTTGCCCGGTGTTCTACCAAATGACTTACAATGCCCATACAAGATTATCGATTGTATTTCAAATTTCGATATTCTCTTGATATTCACCTCTTGTCTAATAATTGAACCGATCAGAGAAGGAAAGTTTCTCTTGAAGATGAAAGTACGCATTGTTTACAAGTGTCATTAAAGTTCAAAACCTTGAACTATGAATATTTACAAACTGTTCTTCCAAGTCTCAGAAGAAAGATGCATACCAACCAAAAGGGTTTATACAATTTCTTACACTTGGAATTTATTTGAACTCAGAATAGCTCATTGATATAACCCTTTTTGGTTCAATTCCAAAGGAAACGGGAGGGGGAACGACCAGTTTCAGTGACAAACATCAATGATTAGTACGACGGAATCGAATGCTGAAGGCACACACACACACACACAACGATATGTACATAAAGTACTCAAGGACTAATATATTGACATAACAAATAACATAACATAATAAAAGATCGGCAATACAAAACAAACTCGCACATTAATAACGTTTGAAAATGTAAATCGTTTAGACCTATGCTAGTCACTCCGATTACTGCGCTGTAGTTCCTTCTGTCATCCTGTTAAACAGCTATCAGACATAGCCATTAAAATCAGAAAATACTGAAGAGATTGTCGGTTTTTGACAACAGGTGTCTTTGAAGCGTTGTTCACATAAGGTGGAATCATTGTCTTTAGCCTGGATGATGCACAATTCTAGGCAAGGTAGCCTAGACATATGCTGCAGATGCCAAGTCACCACACGTTGGAAGAAAACTAAGGGATAGGGGCCAGACTAAAATATGGCACCGGTTTATGAAGTCTCTAGCTGGTCATAGCCATATGGAGAAGCTTAGACCAAAGACGACATGAATTAATGGTTGGTTGTTCTTTGTATGCTGCTATGATACGTGGCAACTTGTGGTAATGCATTTGTGTACAAGGTTCTAACCTTGATTCTGTCTATTCGACTACTTCTGAATGTATAGGTAGGTGGCATCATTAACCCTCAGAACATGCTGACAAACCAATATAATGAATGAGTTACATACTTCAATCCACTAATAATCTGATTGGTTCTTGCTTCTTTCAATGCACCAATGATTGTTTGTCTTTCAAGGTCAATGCAACTTTATACATAAATTCATTGTTTACTAATAAATCCTTTTGGTTTGAGGATACCCGTTTCTTTTTAGTTTCAAGAACAATATATTCAGAGAGGAGGAGGACTCTGTTCAACACATTTATTCTTAAGCTGTACATTCGTAGATATATATGATATTCAAAGAGTGTAATCCTGTCTGGTTTTGTACGGGTGAAGTTTTATCCTTAAACATTCAATCAATTCCAACCATTCAACAGACTGTTAACAATGATTTTAAGGTTGTCTATTGAATTTGCTCAAACATCTCACATGTTATCCGTCTTCAACTTCTTAGAAACAGCAGAGGTTTTGGCTATTTATGAACTGAAGCCAGCTTGACTATTGTATATCAAAGAAGTATGTACAGCCTCTGTCTCTACCATCGCCTTATTTTGGTCTTGGTGTGTTTCATTACTTTTTAGTTTTTTCAACGCCGCCCCCCTCCTGTCACAATAATGTTTGTACTCTTTTATTGCTGAAGCTTAGATAGCTAAAATAATAGGAATAAGCAACAAGGAACTCTGGCTGGCTGGTAACGAACCAATCAAGCAATAACCTGTCGCTCAACAAATATGCACTGCAAGGAAGTGGAAATGGATTGGGCATGCAGTGAGAAGGCCAGTCGGGGATATCATGCACCAGGCCAGGCACTCGAGTGGAACCCTGATGGGAAACCATGAGTTGGGCGTCCCAACTGAGGGTGACATGGAGGAGATGGTGTGATGAAAAGATGAGAGCTTGTGGGCTGTCGTGGAACCAGGTTCAAAAGTTTGCAGAGAAGAGAGTGGAATGGAGATGTCCTACTGAAGACCTATGTTCCATTAGGAACCCAAGTGACGAATAATAATAATAATAATACACTGAGATTTCCAGCCAATAAGATTTTCACAGCTAACAGTTTGAACGATAAATTAAGAATAATAGAGAACTTCTTATATGAGAATGGTTATCCTGAAAAGTTCGTGAAGACTGTAACAATGAAAATAGTTGGATGAAAGCGCCTTTAAACGGTGCCAAAGAAACCATTGTATCTAAACCTTAGCGTCAACAGAGGATGCGGCTGAAGAAACACTGACACTGTAACTCAGAAATCTGATGAAATGATGAAAACCTCTTTAGTGGAGAGCTGTTATCAGTATCGTTCAAGAAAATTCAACAACACCAGTATACTTAGTAAAGCGCATAGAGGAATATGCGGTCTAACCAGAGTTTACTTATAATGAGACAAGACAAAGGAACTGGAATCGTACCCTTGAATAAAAACAACTATAATCATAAAACGAGTAGCATCCTCAAAGATACTACGAAGTTTCAAAATTTCGTGAACGGGCTAGATCACATTGAGAAAACCACTACAGTTTAAAGGACACTTTTGAATTTATTTCAAAAGTCGAAGACAAGAATATTAGCAAGGAAATTATGATTTCTATGAATGTTACTTCCTCGTTTGCCAATGTTCCTCTCCCGAAAACAATTGGTTTCATTTGTAGTTCACCGCTAGAGATAACAAGATGGAGGTAGTTATACCACTTGGAGCCCTACAACAGCTGCTCCTTTGTTGTAAGATAAATGTACAATTTCGGTTTAACAAGAAAATTTATTGTCAGATGAAATGTGTCCCAATGGATCCTCTTTTAGCCGACATGTTTATGGCGAAGTTGGAAAGTCGACCACTGCGGAGTACGATAATATAAACTGTTCTTCTATTGTAGATACATGGATGACACTTTTATTCTGTAGAACGAATGATACCAATCCTAATATCCTTCTGGATACATTCAACGGTGCTCATCCAGAAATCGAGTTCATAGATGTTTGCCGTTTCTACATGTTTTAGTATCAAGACGAATAGATGACAGTGTCAGACGCAGTATTTATCTCAAGGAGTCATGAGTTGGTCAGTATACACGATTTCCCATCATTTGTCCCCCTTACATACAAAAAGAATTTAATCCGTACAGTAAGATTTGCACAGGTGATACTTAGAACGATGAATTAGGATAATAGAGAACTTCTTATATGAGAATGGTTATCCTGAATAGTTCATGAAGACTGTAACAATGAAAATAGTTGGATAAAAGCGCTCTCAAACGATGTCAAAGAAATCATTGTACCTAAACCTTAGCGTTCAAAGAGGATGTGCAGCTGTAGAAACATTGACACTGTAACTCAGAAATCTGATACAACGATGTCAATGTAGTTGACAGATAGACTTCCGAAACTGGCCACATTTGTGTGTATTTATAAATTTAACTACTTCTGTGAAGATAGTTACATTAGGTAGAACGATTCGGCAAGCCTGTAAGGGGTTGCTGGTCGTGTTATTCTGACGTAACACATAACCAACCCTACTTAACTCGATGTGCCCTAGTTAGTACCTGTTTAATATAATATTTATCCCTGAATATACACGTACATACCATTATTATAGGTATGAATAGGTTACTATATAAATTACATGTATCTTTTTATAGCTGGTAATCTCAATCCCCACCTATTGTGTTACTAGAAGATATAAGTCCTGCATGTTTTTATATAATGGAACATACTAGCAGGAAAAAGTATGCAAAAATGTTGTAAGGCCACAGTTTTATATAAAACATTATTATTGATCTGAACATTTTTAACTTATCATTCTCACGCTATATATTGTCTAGTCTCGAGTACTAATTGAATTCTACCAATCATTTGCAATGTGGCAACCCGGCTAAGTAGCTCAGCATCGCGGTGCACATTAGTAGATGTTAGTTGGTTGAAGGCGATCGGTAGGAAGACCTAGACCTGGGTTTCGTGTTTTATTGCGCACGTCAACAAGGCGTATTTGCAACCTCGATAGAACTGATGTCCCGCCTGAGATTCGAACCCGCGTCAATAAGTGTTGTAGTCAGTGACTTTACCACTGGTCTCTTCGGGCTGAATAACGAATCATATGCGGATCAAATTGCAACGCTACGCTGCGCATCATCATAGAACAAAGCATAGAATGGTGGTCAACTCTTTATCTCAAGTATAACGAATTTGAAAAGGTCTTCGATCGAGAAGTAATTTGGCAGGCAGCTGCTTCAACACGACACTGGACCATGCGACAAACAACTATGAGTAGCAAGATTATGGGCATACACTGTGTGACCGATGAAAAGACCCCCAGAAGATTTGCATTTCGCCGATGATGATTTATGTTTAATGTCTATTGTCGCACAAACTCGAAAATCTATAGGCGAAAACTAACAAGTTGGCAGAAGAGGTGAGGCGAGCCAGTGAAAGAAGATGGGACTTTCTTCAGGTGAATGTACAGAAGAAACAGGTGATGAAGATACCCAACCAACAACAACAACAATCACCATGAACAGGAAAAATGTAAAGGAAGTTGTCTCTCACCTACCTACCTACCTCTAGGCAGCATCATGTTAACTACTAATGGCAGTGGCGGTACAGATGAAGATAGGAAAGATAGCAAGACAAGCCTTCATAAATGTGAAAACAGTGTGGAGATCTTATGCACTCAGCATATGGAACAAGATCCAGATTTTCAACACAAAATCAGTCAAGTCAGTGCTTGTATATGATTGATAGACTTGGCGCGTTATGAAAAGTATTTCCAGAAAGAATAAGCAAGAAGGAACGTTGGCCTGGCGAAGAACCAATCAACCAAGAACCTATCACTCAACAAATATACACTGGAAGAAAGTGGAGATGGACTAGATTGAATATACACTGAGAAGACGATTTGGGGTCATCACGCGACAGGTTGTCGAGTGAAACCCAAAGGGGAAACGATGAGTTAGGCGTCTGAGGATGACATGGAAGAGGTCATGTGAGGAAGAAATGAAAGCTTGTTGGCAGTGATGGAGCCGTATAAAGAAGATTGGCGAGAAGAGAGTGAAATGGAGACGTGTTACTGAAGTCCTAATTTCCACTAGGAACGTAAAAGGAGGAATAACAATAATAACAGCTTAAGAATAAATTTATTAAAAAGTATTCTCCTCTTCGATGAATATCGTCTGTCAACTCTTCAACGGACCTCTTAATCAATAATTATTATTACTTATTTTTATAACTTCACCTTTTATGACAATAGAAATTTTATAATAACTGGATTATCCCACTTACCTATACTCTAAGGTTGAAAAGAAAGTTTGATACTTTCGTAATGTGTTTAAATGACGACGATATATTGATTTTGTACGTGAACTTTGAGAAGAAGCATCATTCGATAGCGAACATGATCCATTGCTATAAAAATGTAATGAAATCAGAAGAAGAAGAAGAAGAAGGGGAAGAAAAGGGAAAAACTTAGAACTGATAAACAATAAAATAAATTTAAAAATGAGCAACAAAGGTAATTAACGGGAGGATTTATTGAATATGATAAATTTCAGTAGGGGACTCATCAACTGTTTACTTTACATACATAATGTTATGTTCTATTGTGCAATAAATAAATGAATATATATATATATATATATATATATAATACAGATTAGACATTGACTAAGGTATGGCAACATGGAGTGGATCATTTACTAATGTCAAACAGAGCTAAGATTAAGTTGGGAGGGGGTGTTGTGATGCCCCAGTTTTGTATAAAACATTGTTATTGATCTGAATATTTTAACGTATCATTCCCATACTATTTTTTAAGATATGACTAATAGTCTATTTTCTGCCTTCATTGTAATGTAAATCGCATCCTGGATTCCACTGCTAACCACGATCCAGCCTTAGATTACTGGCAATATCGAGGCATCTGAACACGAGCCTATATGCTAATAGAGACTGATCAATTCGGTCCAATCAACGATGGTATAATATAAAAACCCTTATACTAAAAACTATACCCGTCTCACAAGAAGTGGCTATCGTAGCTTGGTGGTGTAGTGGATAACGTGCTGGTGTTTGAAGCGATCGCTCTCGAGTCCGAATCCCGGTGGGAACAACATTACTCACTGGGAAGCAGGTACATCTAGCTGATGAGTCCCAAATAGGACGAAATGCGCATCCTGGATTCCACTGCTAGCCACTATCCATCCTTAACATAAATCGCTAATTGATTAATCTTTACTCTTACTATGTAAATGTCTCAAACTGAGGAAAAAGTCATTTGTCATGTGTATACTTATTCACGTATTTTGGATTAATTCATTATTATATTCACCGAGTAATACACTCTCCCACCTGCCAGCTACGGTCTTCTCTCTATTCGTCCAAGGGTTGCAGTCAGTGTCTCTTGCACACCAAGTTAGCTGTCAGCTAAGCGTGCGTATTATATTCGTTTCGGAATATATATGAATTGATAATGAAAAATAAAAAGAACTAGGGGTGGATTACATCATTTCGAAGAGAACAATTAGTAGTCAACTCGACAGATAGCTTGATAAAGGTGTACACTAAGCGAACATAGGTGTTAGGTAAACAAAAATACTGATTATAGTAGAAGCAATAATAATACGAGTGAGTGATATTAATGATCATGATTACAATGAGAATAGGAAGAAGGTGAATGAATATCAAAGAAGAAGAAGAAGTGTAAAACTGAAGGAGACTAGTGTAATAGTTCGACGATAACAGTGATGATTATGATGTAAGTTATTTGACTAGTAAGCGGAGAAGTTCAAGAGGATATGATAATGAATATGCAAAGTTATGTCTAGTGTCACACAAACTTCAAGATCAACAGGCAAAAACTAACAAGTTGAAAGAAGAGACAGGGCACGGCAGGGAAGGGCAGCGAAGACGGCACTCCCTTCAAGTGAACGTAGAGAAGACACAGGTGATGAAGACACTCAACCAACACCACCACCATCAACAAAAAACTCCAATCACCATCAACGGGAGAAGCTTAAAGGAAGTAGCCTCCTTCACCTATCTAGGCAAAGCAGCATCGTTTCAACTACAAACGGCACAGGCACAGACAAGGACCCCAAAGACAGGATCAGAAATACAGCAAGACAGGCCTTACTTCATTAACCTCAAAACAGTGTGCAGATCTTCTGCACTCCACTCCACTCCACTCAGCAGAACGCGTGCATGAACAACATCCTCATTTTCAACACCAACCTCAATCAAGTCAGTGCTTCTCTATTACCTCAGAGACTTGGTGCGTTACGAAAGGCATTTCCAACAAACTACACACATTCATCAACAACTGCCTACGCTTCCTCATTACTGAAGCTCAGATGGCCACAATAAGCAACAAGGAACTCTGGCTGGCTGGTAACGAACCAATCAAGCAATAACCTGCCGCTCAACAAATATGCACTGCAAGGAAGTGGAAACGGATTGGGCATACACTGAAAAGACCATTCGAGGATATCACGCACCAGGCCAGGCACTCGAGTGGAACCCAGATGGGAAACCATGAGTTGGGCGTCCCAACTGAGGGTGACATGGAGGAGATGGTGTGAGGAAGATATGAGAGCTTGTGGGCTGTCGTGGATCCAGGTTGAAAAGATTGCAGAGAAGAGAATGGAATGGAGATGTCCTACTGAATCCCCACGTTCCACTAGGAACCTAAGGGACAAATAATAAATGTGCAAAGTATAGGAAGAAATAAAGTGGAACAACAAGACATCTATAAAAGAAAACATCTCTACCATGGTAGATTCAGAGTGACTACCATCTCCTTTTCAGTACACATAGACTCGGTTTACTAACTGTAATCTTACACGCTTCCACAATTCCAAGCATTTTCTTATTCTGCTAAAAATCTAGAAGACTTTAGTGGTGTCAACATCATATCCATAATCCATCAGGCTTTTCAGTGATCGAAAACCCACGTGATTTTTGACCAGGCTTGCTTAAACCATACGAGTAGACAGGCGCCTTTCTGTACGACCTATATATATTCACTCCTACAAGTAAATTCAAATTGGTATATACAGTTAGATGTGTCAAGGATTGGTGTCATGTCTTTTCTTGATTGCTGGTAACATCCAGTCGGTAGTTCTCACAAGTCTAATTATGTTTATCCCTTGTTTTAAACTTGTATCAGGAAATAAATGTTTTCAATGAAATAAATGATACAAATTGGTACAAAAATGATGAGTGATTTATTGCTCATTGATTTAGGCAGTTAGATTACAAGATCTAGGTAACCTACTACTTTAATTCTATCCGAAAGTTTGTGAAGGTTTATTAATCAATTAATTGATAGACCTCTGCAAATTTTCAGATAGAATTATTCTACTCTTTATTGGTAACTATCTTTAAGCAGTGATTTCTAAAGTCCCAATATTAAGTCATGATCAGTGGAGTCAACCAAGTCGATGTTGGATGTACATCGTACTATATCGTGAACTGACAGAAGTAGGAAATATGAGCCATTGGATTCTTACGCAGTAGCTAGCTCATTGGTAACGTGTTGGTTGTGGAACCTGAAAGTCCGAGGTTTGAGTCCTAGTAGAGCGAGGTGAGGTCATGGATGTGCATTGTTCAGGGACAAAACAGCTCTCTAGTACTCTCAAGTTTCTAATCTTCCTTTAACAGATGTCAGTCGATGATGAGTTCGAACCTAAAAACCTATTAGTTTCACTAGTCAGCAAAAAAAAACGTAAATATACGTGTAGTTTTTACGTAAGACAAAATTAACGTGGAACCTCGCACACACACACAAGACGGATCGATTCAAGTTGCCAGTATACAAAGAAAAAATGAATAGACACAGAGTGATATCTAAGTAGACAAAGCTGAATAAGATGAGAAGGAAATTAAAAATGAAGGTCAATACAAATATCCCAACTTTAGAAGATATTAAGGAGTGAATTATATCTAGAAAAAGAATGATTGAATGGGCGAAGAAATATATTCCTTACCGACCAGGTCTTCATCTTGCGCTCTACACTAATATATGTGGGTTTACAATTTAATCAAATTACCAATCACATGGTGATGTTTTGGAAATAATGATGTGAATAATCAATAGGAAATATGAGCAGTGGTTGGGGTCCACGGGATAAGAGGAACCAGTAGTTGGAGACTGACTCTAGGTGATCACGTGGCTCAAAACCGATGTCAGTGGTGCAGATGTATCCCCACATACATTATCGTCATGTTAACGACGCTATACCGAATCTCACCATTTTGCCATTCTTCCTTTCTTTCTTTCTTTCTTTCTTTGAGTACTTTATATTTCTTTTGACTGAATCTTCTTATCTTTATCTTGCACCTCATTGCCTTTTTACTTGATGTACTGATATGAGCTGTGGCAACTCGGATCGTTACGCAGTAATGCCTGGTCCTATGTTGATAATGATGATGATGAAGTTCGGAATAGAGTTAACATAATAGATATTCGTTGGTTGAACGCAATCAGCAGGGACTCGTCAGGTGCGTATGTATCTATCACCTTGACGCAACTGATGTTCTCTATGACATTCGAAAATCCGCGTCAGCGAATGTTCCAATCAGAGAAATTACCTCCTATACTACTGCATTAGATAACCTGAAGGGTAACCAATTTCATATTGTCGATTGTTGACTACTGATTGAATTCTATTGACTATGATAATGTTTAGATTAAAAAAGTTTCTTTACAAATGCAATCAACATGTTGAATTTATTTAATGATCATTGACTTTGAGCAGTGCTGAAGTTAGGCATTTCAGTGTTAGAAAAAGACTGATTGAGTGGGCGAAGAAATATATTCCTTACCAACTAGGTCTTCATCTTGCGCTCTACACTAATATGTGTGGGTTTACAATTTAATCAAATTACCAATCACTTGTTGGTGTTTTGGAAATAATGATGTGAATAATCAATAGGGTTACTAAAATAGGAAATATGAATAGTGATAGAAACAAGAGGAGGATTAGGTGTAAAAGGTAATGCTAGAAGTTACATCATGTTGACGGCCATGGTAATGAAAGTGGTCGAATAAACTTCTTCTGGATACAAAGGCTAGGTTTGTGAAGGTGGGTTGCAATCGCCTGCCTCTACTATGTGAAGTAACCGAGTGCGTAATCCATGTGGTGAATGAATTAGAATCTGATGGATGATTTTGAAGACTTTTTCAGTAACCACTTGATATCCTGTGTCCACTAAGTGTGCATGTATGGAGCTCTTTATAGTTCTAATTTCTCCCTTGTTCAACCATGATGGGTGGTGGCTCAGAAATCCGACGATGTACCTGTCTCATTGTACACCCAATGTAACTAGCTCCACATGAGCAGTTGAATTGATAAATGCACATGGAAGTAGCAGAATCAGGCAGTTTGTCTTTATTTCTTACACCTAGA